CTTAGTATCAATATCGGATGATGGATTATCATATTATACCAAAAATCCTCGCAGTATCAATAATACACGACGACATCTTTAATCATGTATAAGTTGCTTAGCGTACGATTTGATAAACATACCTCCCAGTAAAGTTGGTTGCAGTCCATGCACTGCCAAAACTCGAGATTCTTGTTAAACAAGCAGTTAGGAATTCTTTGGAAACCTTTCGCAGCTTCAACAGCCTCTTCAGTCGTCAAGGGCTTTTGAATAAACCTACCATTGCATTTGGTGCATCTTGACATTAGTTGATCCTCACTAATTTTCAGTTGGAAAGTTTCGATTATCTGCAAGAAGACTTCAGAATCAGATTTATCGTGTAACAACGCTTCAATCCTTCAAAGAGCTTCTTCGAATAGGAACATTGTATTAGCAATGCACTTCAAAAATTAAAGGAGAACCAAGTGTCTCGGTTGGAAGACTCAACATATCCTTCCCAACTTCGTCAAATACCTAAGTGATCCAAAAATTCTTAAGTTTCTTTATCATTTATAATTTAAACTTTTTAAGATAAAATCTCAAGCACCAAATACAAATTTCAACTATTATAAACAAATTTACATTGATCGTAATAAGTTGACATGATTATTATTATTTTCTTTTTTCAAATAAAGCCGCATTAAATCCAAAGCCTGACTCAAGGTGGTGAGACTTTATATAAGCTAACCTAAAAGACCATGAACCACTTGCAATATATATATATATATATATATATATACAGTAAAATTGTCCAAGCAGAATGCATGTACAAATGCACATCTGATTTTCACAGAAGGCGCCGAAATTTCAAAATGAAGACGGGCATACCTCAAGTAGCTGTTCGTTCTTGAGAAGACTCTTCACTCTATAGATATGATTGTTTATTAGATAATCATGTCTCAGCAGCTTGGCATCCCGCGTCAACAGCACTCTCTTCTCTTTATTTGCTTGATCTATTAACTGCCTGCACAAATTGAAACCAAATTAATAATTCATTAAAAAAAATGTTTAAAACATATTCAAAATCTACAACATTTAACATACAAGAGCATGATCATGAGAATACCTGGGTTCAGGCTTTTTTGAATACGAGATTGCAGCATTGATCCCTACACATCTTAAATGTTTAGCTAAGCCTTCGACCTGAAAATAAGCATGAGCAAGCAAGTAGCATGTGACATTTCAGCCACGGACACCCTTTGGCGGGGGACCTTGCCAATCTTCAAGGAAAGTGGATATAAAAACTTACCATCACGTCGCATAGAAACTTCGGTTGTCCATCACCCCCCAAGGCCAAATCCCATGGTGGGGGACCTTGCCAATCTTCAAAACTCTGTCCTTGCTTTTCATTACAAATCAAACCCTCTGATGACCGTCCTTTTGCTTTTCTTTTAGAAGTTTTGGCCGTTTTGTCAGATTCTTTCAACAAAATTTTCTCCCCAAATTCGTTTACAACCTTCAAGAGGTATTCATCCATGGGAAGGGTATTCCTATGCCCTATCCTCAATGTCATTCCCTCTTCCGTAACTATATTAGGAGAAACATAAGAAGCAGTAGCTCGGGCTATATCTATAGCTTCATGAACTTTCATCCTTACAATCTTACTATATATATCAAGCTTCTCAAAAACCACTTTCAACCCAAGAGTCACGGTTGGGGGATGCGGTTCAGTGGGATGGCGAACTAGTTTCCCTGCAATGAGAAACCAATCATTTTCCTTTATCAACACAAATATAACGCAAGAAAATGTGCAACAAACGCATAAACACGAGTATAAAAATATATATCTAGCATGACTGACCTTCCTTGATGACTTTGGCTTGGAAGACATTGAATATCTCAATCAAGCAGTGTGCGTCCATTGCTGCATATGTTTTCTGCTCTTCTGTAAGAGGACGACATGACCAATCACTACATTGGAGTTCCTAAACAAGACATATTTTACATCAACAAATCTTTATAGGAACCAAAAATTCCCATCCCTTTATTCCATCAACATTCCATCATGTGGTTAAAAGTCTAAAACTTTCGATGCAGAGTAACACAGAAACTTTGAATTACGGAAAATCGAAAACCTTTCTAAAACCAAACCTTTGAAAGAGAAATTCCAAGGACTTCTTTGCAAATACTTGCTAAACTCTTGATTTGCTTGGAGGCCTTCCTTCCATGTTGCTTGTCTTGCAGGTGATTGTATATGCTCGTAATATCCATAAATGGCTCCACCTGTTTACCAAAATATCAACCGAACAATGATCAAAACAGAGGAAGATGAAAAAAAAAAATGTTTCTTGATTTTCGCTGAAGGGTTGGATTAGATTGCAAAATTTAAGACAACCCAAATCCCAAAATCTAAACTTTCGCTACAGTTTCTGCAAAATATGAAACTTTCTTACCCTGTCGAACCCAGGTTCGCAGCCATTGGAGCTGAAGGTGGAGGACAAGTATATCAAATCCTGCTTAAATCGAAAACCCAGTTTCAGAATATCGGGGGAAACGAATGCGTCCCTCAGCAACTCCCAGATCGACGGCAGGTGAATGGTTGACAGGTCGAGCAGGAAGACGACTGAGTCGTCCGACTCGTCCGAGTCTCCGCCGAGTCGGGAACCTAGTTGACAGGCGAGTTGGAGGAGGAGGACGGTTGGGAAAGACGACTGGGGGGTGCGGGTGCGGATGGGCTTCCACTCGGCATCGAGCGCAATGATTCTGCAGCGAGTCAGAGACCGAGTTAAGTAAGTGAACTCGGGCGAGTCGGTGGATGAAACTAGTTGGACATTGAGGGGCCTTTGTGGATCCATGGAAAAAGTGACACTAGTTTCATTCCTCATAATTCGATGAGGGTTTTGGGTTTTTTCATGGGTCAAATGTAAATTGCGCTTGACCCTTTCAACTATTAGCCCAATTGAAAGCCACCTCCTAAATTATTTTTTTGATAAATTAAAACCTTGATCTATTTGAAACTTACCAATCACTGTCATATTGGATGAAATTTCATCCATTATGCCGTCAAATACTGGCACAGCTTTGCTCTCAAAAGTGAATCACGGACTAGTCACGACATAACTTTACCCTCAAGAATGAAGTACGTTTTGATCACGTACCATTATTTGACCCAAAGTCAATAAAATTTTATCGAATTAAACAGTGAGAGGTTAATTAGCAAAGTTTAAATAGTTCAAATGGTTAATTTAACGAAAAAAATAATTCAGAGCGTCAATTCAATTGGGGTTATAATTTAAGGGGTCAGACGACAATTTACTAATGTTAATATCCTAATGCACCTAAATGATCCATTTATCACCTTTAGTACTACTGACTACAATATTAATATGTATTTGATACAATTAGCATCAGGCAGTTAGATATAATTCAAGTAAGTATTTAATACATCACCCAACTTAGCATACCCTAGGGCCAACTTATCCTAAATCATTTAGTCTGAGTCCCTTTGGTACCGTTACGTACGTGGGACGGGACGGAATTGAGTGGGACGAGGCATTCCGTCCCACGTTTGGTGCGCTTAAAACGGGTGGAACACGTTATTCCACGGGATGAGTTTTGGATGAATTTTCGTTCCACCTCACCCCCCTGAAACGACTCGTTCCATATCCGTGGAATACAAAATTATAATCTATCTGTCTCCTTCTTCTTCCTCCTTGTTTCCATCTGAGGGCATCTTTGCTCCCTCTCTATTCCGTCCCGTCTTGTCTCGTCCCGTCCCGTCCCGTCCCATTCTATTCCGTTATGTCCCGTCTGTATACCAAACCATACCTTTGGCCCTTTGGAACCGAAAATCGAAACCGAAACACGAATCGAATCGGACGGCATCGAACGGTTTGGTTTTACGGTTTGAAACGGTTGCGGTTTCGAAACAGAACCGCATCAACGAAAACGGTTTGGTTTCGGTTTTGGGTTTTCAAAACCGCACCGAACCGAAACCGCTCCATATATCCTACTAGTTGTGATGTTATGTTGTGTGGGTTTGTATGCATGTATCCTTGCTAGTATTTGGCATTTTCAATGTGGATCCTTACTACCATTCTTTCAATCGTTTGTGTTGCTATGTGTGTGGTATACATTGTGCTATCTGAAACCTACTATGTGTGTGGTATAATTGATAATGCCAATGGTAGTAATTTTAAGTACCTAAGAAAGGCTGGATCACATATATCATTAATACTTTAACCAAAAGTTAGCCTCATTATTTCCAATAGATGGTTTCCTTCTCCAAAATAATGGACAGAAACTGAAATATGCCAATGGCAAGGGAGATATTACTCTGCTTGCAGATAGCATCGAAAAGTACGTTAAAAGTGATAACATCTGGTTGACATTCAGGCTCTTGACAATTTGACAAAGCATTTCATTGAAAAATTTCAATCCTTATTACCATTATAATTGATAAATGTGTTGTATGGTTTACCTCGTAATGGTGCTAAGTTATTTCTACAGTTTTGGTGCAATTTTTCTGCAGTTTTTTTTTTGCAGTTTTGCTGCATTGTTGTTGTTGTTTTTGCTGCATGTTTATTAATTAATATATGAGGAAAATAAGATCGTCTTATGTTTAAATGGGTGTATATTTTAAATTGTACATTTTTTTCTCAAAAACCGAACCGAAACCGTTTGAGACCGCACTGCACCAAACCAAACGGGTTGGTTTCATTTCGATTTTGGCTTCAAAATCGCACCAAACCGCACCGCAAAAAGTTTCGGTTGCGGTTTCACTCGAAACCGCACCGCGCCCACCTCTATAGAAGAGTGGTGAGTAAATATAATACAAATAGCTTAACTATGTCGATTTGCACTTAGAATTAAAAACCGAAAGTTATAGACATTCTAACATTTAGGGCCCTGTTTGGCATACCGTATAAGGCACGGCACGGGATAGTACTAATAATACAAAGTACGATGTTTGGTGTCTATTTGAATTAAATAACCCCCTGATTAAATAATCGGGCCTACCTTTTTTATCCGGTCTTTACCCGCTTGCTTCTACCGTTGAAAACCACGGTACAATTTAGTCGGGCTGAAATCCCTCGCTCTCTCCTCTCGGTCTCCAGACGTTCTCTCTTCCTCTCCAGACGCACTCTTGCTCTCTCGTCTGAATCCCAGGTTCGTCTTCTCAAATTCTTCTTCTTCGTTTGAATCCCAGTTCGTCTTTTCATTTTTCTTCTTCTTCCCAGATCCGCCCTCCCTCTGTTCTTGGAAAATATTATTCTTCTTCCCAGATATAGCTCCTCGCGAGCATGTCAGCCTCAGACGTTTGGATTGCTGTGGCCCGATCTCAACGACAGATTGTTCTACAACGACGTCGTTCGAGCCTCTAATTCCGGTACTCTCTTTCTCTCCCTCTCTTTAAAATCTCCCTAGTAAGATACTGTTTTTTTCTACTATTTCTGTTTTTTTTTCCTGCATTTTCTCGGCAGCCAAACAGCCTCCAAGCCTAGAACTCGATTGTCGATGCTTTCTTCGATTTTAACTTGTCCGAATTTGACTCCGATTGTTGGTGTGCATTACAGAACTGACACTGATCGAGTTCTACTCTAGCAAGTACAATAATTCAGCTCCATTGCAAGGGTAATCAGCTTATACCAAATTGCATTCCAACAATTTAAATTAATTTGATTTATTTACTGATTTATTTTTGCACTTTAAGCAATAAAAAAATGTTTAATTTGAAGAACAGATGAAAACTTTGTACTGATAATTGAGCAGTTTCTTCGTGAACCTTCTTTGTCAAAAATTTTTTTCTTCCTTTTTCTTATCCGGATTAGTACCAAACATAATATAAATAATACGGTTATTAGTCCGATACCGCACTAAACGTCCAACTAATTTAGTCAGCACTATCCGATGGCTATTTATCATATCCGACAAAAATAATCAGTACAGTCTGATTTACCAAACGAGGCGATTTGTTGAAAATTTAGAGGAAAAAAACAAACTTTACATCGAAAATAAACTATCAATTTTGTTATGACTCCTTTATTTTTTATTCAATCAATTGTTCAGCAAAATTCAAAGTAGTTGCTAATTTTCATTGTGAATCTAGCATTTTATTGACGTATGTGTCATAAAAGTCACGTGATATAATTAGCAGAAAACTGTGACAGAATTGACAATCAAGAATATTATCTTGAATTAAAAGTCTAAAGAAGCTCAAGACCAAATTAAGAGTTCAGAAGTACGGTGGAATAAGGTCCAAAACGCAACTTTATGGGCTCAACTATTTTTTAGCCCAGGCTCAGTCCAATAGGAAACAGTGGCGCCAAATAATAAAGAAACGAGCCCATGCTCGCTCCAAAAGAGATTTTTCAATATGATTGGTACATGGGATGGTACCTCATGTACCGTGTCATTATACAAATGGTGGGATATGCGTGCTAAAAAGTTAAACAACTTAAAAAATAAATTTTTCACCACTCCTATTAAAACACGTTGTATTTCCGTTATAATTAAAAATTTCTCTGCTCGAAACCTTATATCCCGCGAATCCAAATTAGCGTGCGAAATCTCCCCATTGGTTAAATAGCACAACGCAAACACCCTCGCTAGCCCCGAACCCGGAAGAAAAATGGTGGCGTTGAGTAGAAGAACGCAAGCCCCGAAGCCTCCCTCTCCCGTTCAAATCGTCGAGGACAATGTACATTAGCAGCATTTGTCCATGAGTTTCTGCAAATGTCGAAAAAAGCATGTTCGATTGTTGTCTCTCACTTTCACATATCCATAAGCTGCAAATGTCGAAACTGTACATCTCTGATGTTGTTGCCCTCCAGGTTATGTCGAAAGAAGATATTGAAACGTTTTTGGTTCGTTTAGATGTGTTTTCAAAATGACTGAAAACGCTTTTAAAAAAAAATAAAAAATTTGGTTCCAAAAGCATTTGAAGTGCATGTGCTTCTTCCAGAAAACACTTTAAGAGTTTAATATCCGCATACCTATTTAATCGTAATCGTTTAATACCCGTTTACCCATTTACCTTTTTCACATTTGTCCCTACAAGCATGGTAACACTGCCCGCTTCATCAACGGAATCAATAATTTTATGGGGGTAAGGCTCAAACTCGGCTAAAAAGACGGGGAACGCCGTCTTGGCCAACTAGCTGAATCCTCATTTGCATTCGACCACAATGATTTGATGGTTTCAATTCAGAGTTGTGAATTGAAGAAACTGGGAATGAAAATTTGAGTTTCTCCACTTAAATTGGCCAAAATTATAGTTCATTTGATTAAGAGCATTTACTTTTGTATTTGAGGTTTTATTTTCTTTGTACGAAAATGAACTTGGGTAAAGCCGGGATTTGGGCTTCGGTAGTTTAGGCCTAGGCCCATCCTAATGTACAACTGCAGCCCATATCTAAAAGCTGAGCGTAAGCCCATTAGTTGTTTAAAATACCATAAAACCCATTCCGTAAAGCCTAAATAACTCTCCCTTGACAACCATATCAACGGATCTGTGGCGCAATGGTAGCGCGTCTGACTCCAGATCAGAAGGTTGCGTGTTCGATTCACGTCAGGTTCATTTTTTACCGACATTTGGATTTTTTTTCCTTCTTTTCTTTATTTTGTGAAGATTCCATCAATGTGCATCTCTGGATATAGATCAATTCGTGAGGTTTTGATCTGATAATAAATGTTTTTACCAACATTTGGATTTTTTTTCCTTCTTTTCTTTATTTTGTGAAGATTCCATCAATGTGCATCTCTGGATATAGATCAATTCGCTAGGTTTTTATCTGATAATAAATGCTTGCTTGCAAGGAATGAAATGCGTTTGTAGATTAGCGAAACTTTTTCTATAATATGAATTTCGAAAACACATTTACAAAAACTTGGCTAATAAAAAAATTTCGTGCAATGCAACCATTTGAGTTTTATCTCCTAAGATATAGAATGATACATAAAGTGGCGAGATCACACTAAGGTCATTGTAATCGGAAAACCTCAATAACTTGTAATATATTTCAATAAGCTTGAATTATGATACATTTGTTCAACGCTAATATTTAAGCCTTATTTAAAATGAGAGGTAATGTGAATCCGTGATCGATGAAATGCCTAAAAAAGTTCTTCAATAAGAGTTTCTTGACATGTCATTATCAAGCTAAATTATATCGTTGTTATACATTATAAGTCGTACATTATTGTATGCTAAAAAAGATCGAGTGATGTTATTTCGTCATATAACGGTCCATTCGAACAAGATCTGAAAAGTTGAAATGGCTTTGGCACCACCAATGTACTCAAATGATTACGGTGGTTGAGTTTGAGAGTGAAGAAATTCAAGATCTAAATTAGTTCAAATATCCAGCACGATGACTCATCTGGCGTACTTGTAAATTATCATCAAGTTCAGGACCACTTTAGTCTTTATGTGTCCAGTAAAAAACAGTTGTAGCCATAGCTAAGCTCAGAGTGGTCCAAAACCAGGAGCTAGCAAACCGCAGTAGTAGCTGATCAACTGGCAAAAGCATCTGTAGCCGTCAGATCTTGATCAGACGCTCCCCCACATTGTGGTCCCACCAACCACACTAATTTCTTGCTACCCAAATAATTAGTGTCACTGCATGTAACTGTGGTCCTGTTTCAGAAAATATGAACTGGATTTTGTGTACTTGTACTTGGTGCTTGGAAGCTACAGCCAACAGGTAGTGTATCTGTTACCACAGATTTTTCATCAGATCTCCAATCCCAATGAAGGCTTGATTAATTGAATAAATGTCGTTTTGGTCCATAAACTTGGACTGGTGTGGACGAAGTTTCATTTTGGGTAACTCTGTTAAATCTTGTACCTCGTATTTACCTATTTAAACCCTTTTGTATTAGATGGAAGTTACAACGGTATTATGTACGAGTTTAGAAAATTCAGTGAGTATTGGTCCCTGAACGCATCATATTATAGAGCAATAGTCCATTATGATAACGCCATTAAAACGTTCGTCTAAAATAAAGGGTTTAAACCTTTTATACTTCAAAATATTAATTAACAAAAATTTCTGCTTTCTTAAAAAAAAAACTAGAAAGTAATTTATTACATATTTTTTTTCATAAAGCACTAAAAAAATAGTTTTCTAATATAGAAACACTTTAAATTATTCATGTCGAAATTTTCAAAAACGGTTTTTAAATTTTGAGAAGTGCTTCTAATGTTTATAGAAGCATTTTCAAGTAAGCCTATAATTGGATTACTTTACTAACGATATGAAAGTTGAGAGTATAAACCTCGAATTGAAAATCAAGAAACATTACGCGTGCTTATAAAGAGTTAAGGTATTGTTAGTGTCAATCGATTTTACGATAAGACATCAATTCCATTGAGAATTTCATTGCCTAAAGACAAAATGGGCAGTGGGGTATCCATTCTACTAAATTAACAATACAATACAACATTGCAAAGAAATGGACCCAATCGTACAATCCAATCAGCCTGTTTGGTGGAAACTGTCTAACACTTAATCTACACCACAGGCCACGACATGCTTCTTCTTCTATCTACAAAGATAAGGGTTACAACTTGGGACACTACTCGATTCAAAAAGTTCTTAAGCATAACACAGGATGTGTAAACGACTAGTACACATGTGGTCTAATATCTTAGTGGGCAGAGTGTTCTCATGCGTCTCAAATTCAAAATTCTCAATTTCTTAATTTATTATAATAATATCGAACTCGTAACCTTTCGATAATAATACTAAATTGCTATATCTCTCTCTCTCTCTCTCTCTCTCTCTCTCTCTCTATCTCTCTCTCTCTCATATCCGAATTTGAGTTATCTTCGTAAATTTAAGGTCTGGTTTGGTACTGAGGTGATTCTGAAAAAAGTGAGTATCAAAAAAAGTTGGGAGCTTTTTTGTGTTTAGTAAACATTCAGCTTCAGTTTTTTTTTCCCACAGTTTTGGGTAAAAAAGAGTCAAAAACACAAAGCTGCAAAACCCAGCTTTGAAAAACCGGTTTTTTTTCACATTTGTTTTACATAAAAGTTTACCAAGCACTATAATACTGCTTTTTTTTTTCAAAAGCACTTTTACAAAAAATGTTTACCAAACACTCTGCTGCTTTATTTCACAGTTGCTTATTCTTACAGCACAGCAAAAACAGTTTTTTTTTTCAAAACACAGCAATACCAAACCAGCCCTAAGTATTGTAGAAAATTGTTTTACAAAAAATACATATCTAACACTAACAAATTTTCTCTCGTTTTGCGAGTTGATCAAATTTGATTTACGAATTAAACCTGAGCACAACTTGTTGCCACACCTCGGAACTCTCAAGTTTTAGCTACTCAAATGTATCTAAGGAAGGACCAATAGCCATGGAACTATATGACAAGCTGGTCAGGGTCATCACCCCAACCCCAAACATATCAAATACCTTATCATCATAATCTTACAATATCCCACTTGTGACTTGTTGCAGGACGTGTAGTTTTCACTTCACTTTTCCCGTGCTTTTTTCTCATTTCTTGAAAGATAAGAGTCATAAGATTTGAAAGGCTTATAATTTGGTTCGTGCATCTCTAATTTGCATCTCGTGCTAAAAGTGTTTAATCATAGATTAGTAGGGTTTTACGAGATACTTCTCTCGATATGGATATTGTTAGATTTTTTGTGTCTTTATATCAAAAGTCAACTGTTTGATCTAACATTGTACCAATGCCAACCTTTTTTCATCACGTTCAGTTGTAATCCATGCATCTGCCTTTGTTAGTGCATGTGTAGGTCATCCAT